GATGGGGTGCCGAGTGTACATTAATGAGAAATAAAATGAACTTTTTTAATTTTAGCAAATGGCTGCAATGAAACGAAGAGAACAATTTAAAGGGGTCTGAATACTTTCCGTACCCACTGTACATGTTAGCATGCTAAAAGACTGAGGCTAAAGCTGGCATGTCACAGACAAATACCATCTATATCAGTTGTTCCGTGTTGTTCTTGTATTGCAGTGTACAGCAAGTATGATAAGGAAAATGTCAGATTGTTGTTTTTGTTCTAACATAATTCAGAAGAGCAGATAAACCCACTGTTTAATCTCTTCATTCACTTTTGCTCTTGAGTTTTTGAAAGGTTAAAAAACAAAAAACACCAACCCCCAAATTCTTTAAGTGCAGATAATTTCTCTACTACAGCCCCATGCACACCACTTCATTGTGTTAGGGAATCCAAAGCCTGACAGGTCTGCTGTGCCTAGTTGCTTAGCTACCAAAACTCAGTGTTTGGGGGAAGGGTTTAACGAGAGGTCAATGGCTCTATTAGAAAATGATGCTGCTTACTGTTATCGCTGTTGTCGTCCACCAAGATGATCTCTTTCAGAAGGTGGGAGGGCGTCCGGTTGATGGCAGAGTGAATCGACCGCAAGATGACGGAAAAGGCTTCATTCACAAAAATGAACACAATGCCCACTTGAGGGAGGTTTAAAGGATAAGTGAGGTTTCTGCACCTGTGGAGGACAAATAAAATACCATGTTGAGGCAATGTTTAGACCTTGTCCAAAGGATTAACAGATACATTTGACATTGATTCCTACAGAGCAGGGTAATGGCAGAATTCATGCCAACCCAGCTACTTGGCAGACTATATCAGGATCCTATTTTCATAAATCACAGTGTAAATGTAAGATCTGGCACTAGTCCATGTCCAGAAGATTTTAAAAACTCCAGCAATAGTGGTGCAACTATAATACAGTACGATCAGTTTAGGAGGAATAATTGGTCATGTGGTGAGTTCTGACATCAATCAATCCTATTTTTTTCTCTGTCAAAACATTGTTTTCTGCAAAAATATGTTGACATTTCAATTTTTAATTAGCCTCTCCTCCCAAGAAGAAACTGATGGCTGTATGCAGGAAATGCAGAGAGAAGAGGCTGTTAAAATCTGATTGTAATGCTGCTGCATTTAACACCCTTTTTAGTTTAGATTAACGTATTTGAAATGGAAATCATGATCATAAAATCTTTTGTGAATTGACACAAATGTCTTCGAAGACAATAATGACCTTAATAACAGTATGTAGATTGTGGTAACAAAAACGGTGGCAAGGTCCTCCTATTGACATGACCTTTTAAGAGTGAATCGAGGAGGTAATTGAAACATCTTAAATGTTTTCAGTCCTGCCAGTCAAATTCAATTGATCTTACAATGATGTTACAACACCATGCTGCAGGAAGCCTGTTGTATTTACAGAAAGGCCTGGCTCATTCACTACTTTTCGGAAATGTGTGCAAGAAGTGAGTGATTAATGATCCCCCAGAACAGTTTTGGATTAGAGCCAGTACGAGTGGGAAAGGATGGTCTCAAGGGAGTTTAGTGATGTGCGGTGGAGACAATGCCCTGAAGATCTTTGAGCTGTGTAAACTTTCCCACCAGGATGTCACTCTGTGCGCTCCTGTAAAATGGGAACATAAAAGCTCTGCTGAAAACCACGTGACATCCAACTGATGCGGTGCGACCACAAGTCGTTCGTGTATTGTACTTTGCAGGATTCCTTTTTGTCCAGAATTAAATCAAAGTCCCCATGTAACTGCACACGGCTTTGAAAATGCATGTGTTCCTTAATATACAGGCTGCAGGTAGACATGCACTTTATCCAGCGACCTTCAGCTGGCCGTAGGGGTTTGAGATATTGGTACAGTAAGAGTCCCCTTAATCAAGCCAACGACAAACAAGTTTTCTCAGCAGCAGCATTGCACTGAATGCTAAAGGCAGATTGGTTTTCAATTAGAGGCACTTAGTGTTTGATGAGGAGCAACAATGTGTTTTTCAGCGTAGCAAGTGCCTCATGAGTCTCTTTATTTATTACCGAAAAGTCCTCAGAGCTAGAAAAAAAAAAAGAGCACAGAACACCAAGGTAGATAAGGTTGACCGATGAGGATATATACACACGATGCGAAAAGGTAGTCAAGTAAAACAAACAATTTGAACACGACACCTTGGGCTCTAGGAAATTATAATTTGACATTTTATAGACAAATCGATTTACTGAGAAAATAACAGATTCATAGACAATTAAAATTGTTAGTTGCAGCACTGACACAGTGGCGATTTGTTAACCGTCAGAGATTTTGCCATTGTGTATTTAATGTAGTGGCTTTAATTTATCTAGGTTTGTTAGGCCAGTGTGAGATGTGTTGCAATTACTAAGTAGACCTGATGTTTGTCAACCACTGCTATTAAGAGACACACCTATGTGTATAAGTGTTTTGACACTGTCATGTACAGTAGTAATCCAACCATTTCTTAGCAAGTGAGAGGAAATGTGTGCTTGTAAACAATCAAACTGACACTTTTACAGCACAAAAATGTGGACACTTCAATTGGACAATTCAGTCTCAATCTGTAATTCAGATGCATCAGAAAATAAATTAACAATTTACTCAAACATCTATATCAACAGCTAGTGTTGAGTGTGAGGTGATAGTACATAAACACGACAGTGTTTGAGCACCATTATAATTGCATTCTTACCCATCAGGCCTGAGGTCTGGTATTGGTCTGTCTAAAGAGAGACGATCACTGAGGTAGCCGTTATATCCATAGTACTGAAACATCTTATATGCCACCCGCCGGTTGTCCGGGCTGAGATCCTGACCCCAGTGAGCGAACAGCGACGAGTCAGAGAAGGATGTGTCCGCCTCACCGGCTTCTCCCCTCCCTGGAGTCTCTAGGAAGCACAGGAAGACAAATAGCATGAATATTTGTCTAGGCCACAGTTTCTCAAGCCACCAGTAAGGTAGTGCATAAGGTGACATTTAGGGGATGTGGAAAAATGATAGCACTAATATAATCACTGTGATAAAAGCTGCTTTCCCTTGTGCTGTAATGTATGTTAGCAGGTGAAGGGTGGTCTGTCATTTCCAGAGACTGATTGGCTGTCCTTCAACAGAAACACTCGGAGTTCATATCGTACACATGATGAGAAGCTCTGATGTCCTTGAAACAAAAGCTTCAATCCCTACCAGCAGCCGGCATTATGTCCTGTAGCTGACCTTGCTCTTTATACTATGCGGAGGGTAAGTGAAACTAATTTCCCTAAAGGTATCGCTAGAGCAACATGCACAAGCTTCCTTTAATAATTAATCAAGTGCTAATGTGTGATCATTTTTTTTTTCTGTGAGTGTTTTTGCATGGCAGAAGATTGTAGAATGACTTTGTGCTTAAAGGACTGAAAACTGAAGGGTTTCAAAATGAGTGCATTCCTGACTCGTTTTATAGCTGAGCAGCACTGACAGCACTGAGAGCAGTGACACATCCCACAAACACACATTTAGTGTGACAAAAAGTATATTACTGCTCGTGGCCCTTGTTGATAGACTCAGATCATGTCCAGACTCTATAAAACAGCGGTGGCATCTGTTAAAGATTCTGTCCTGCTTCCAAGAGGTTTTAATGCACTTCAGAAGCAAACTTCCGAGTGTGTTTAACAGTCAGGGAGCTTTACCCAGCTTTAGGCAAGCGATTTGAATGCCAAAAGAAAAAAATACACTATGTAAGGCAGTGATTTCATCTTCACGAATATACAAAAGTTTCCCAACTGCACTTATATGATTGCAGCCTGTACCTCAGTGATTATGTTGTGAAAAAAACCATGTTACTGGAGCAAGATGTTTTTAATTTATTACAGCCATTTCATTGAGGTCTAGTATCTGTTGGAACATTATGCAGGGATTCAACCACAGTCGGGTCTGAATATTACAAAGCTTTAGTTTTATTGCACAGCACAGTAATATCTGTGGTCTGTGAAAATATGGGGGTGTGAGTGAGAAGCTGGTGGTGGCAAGCCAGTGAAGTTGAGAAAAATCTGGAATAATATTTGCACTGCGATTAGTGACAAGGGGTTAGATGTATGATGGGTTGCCTCAGTACAGTATAAAGAAACAAGCTTAAATTCATACAACCTATACTAGTGCAAACAGTTGCTGTCTAAGAATAAAAGATGCCAGTCAATAATTGAATTCATATTCATTGACTTAATTGAAAAGGATGTCAGGTAATAATTGCATATTGTTAATCAAAATGTTCTAGTCACCAGGAAATTAAATCTAATGAAAATTGGTGCTAGTATTATCCGTTAATGATTTCATTAAAGAGAGGGCATCAGTCCCCAGCAGCATACCGAGGCTATACAACAATAAAAAAGAGACAAATTTACCTTCAGTATTTCAGGTTAGTGCGGACAGTCAGAGTAAAATCAAATGCAAGCTCGGAAAAGAGATGGGAATGGTTTCTTCTTTTAATTAATACTATTTGTAATAGCTGTGATTTCTGCTGTTTTTGTTTAATCTATTCTAAATGAATATGTCTCTCAAATTTCAGAACACAATAAAGGCCAATACATCTCAGACATGACCTGAAATAGTGAGGAATGAACATAAACCAAGAAGCTTCAAAGACCCAAAGAGGAAAGAAAAGGCTTTAAGTCCTCAGTGACACTGCAAGCAAAAGACAAGGTTAAGTGTGTGTGTGTGTGTGTGTGTGCAGTATGCATGTGTTTTAAGCAGATTGGTGAAGGTTAATATTCATGAGAAGATTGTACAAGTGACAGCCAGTCAGCCACGGAAGAACTAAGACAACAATGTGGAGGCAGGTGTGAAGGGATTACATTATGAACCAAAACAAAAATAACTTAGCTTCTGTGCTTCTGGAAAGGCACGGGCTTCTAGTAAATGTCTTTAGAAGGTGAAGGAATCTATTGTACCAGTAGTTAGGGAGTGTGTATCATCAGTGTGACATTTTTATATTGAGATAAAAAAGAGTGAATACTGGACTTACATTTCCCAGAAACATGATTTCAAATAAATGATGATGTTGCTCCGTAACTATTGGTTGTGTCAATAAGCAACTATTTGCTAACAAATTCACGCTATCAACTCAAAAGGTACGTATAGTGGAAATGTGCTCAGAATTTGTTCTGCTGCCCCAAAGAGGCAAAAACAAAAATGCAAGTTGGCTTTCTTGCCGAGTGTTAGAATAGAAAGATTGGCCGTTCTCATGTCTTAGATTGAAATATGAAGCTTCATTATCATTATCATCATTAATTCTAATATTTTGAGTTGGCTAATTATTCATTTCAAAATAAATTATTCAGGCAATCAAGAGCTGGAAGGGTGAAGCATTATAGAGCCGGACGGTGCAATTAGGCGAGGCCGGCAGAGAATACCACGGTAACGTTACACGTCCAAAGTTGAAATCTATAAACGTATTCATTTACAACCAGATATATGTCCATCACAATAGAGAAAGTTGTTTAAGTTTGCTATAGAATATTAAGAGAAAATGTTATAGCTAAATGCATTATTAGTATAATTACAAAAAAATAGAACACACAATATTATTTAACTCACCATAGCAACATTTGGTCATGCGTGTTGCCTTTACCGTCGGACTATTTGTATATTTTTTTCCCTCGCCATCTGCCTGATTCCATGTGAACGCAGCATAAACGGCTATAAATTATTGGCTCTCAATGTTGAGGTAGCTACTGTGTAAAATGTTACTACTGATGTATGTAATTGGAGATTTTGCCAAAGCAAACGGCCTTATTCCCTATAATAATGCATGCAAGCTGTAACGAAAGTTTATTGATGTTAACTAAGAACTACCCGAGTGACCAAAGTCTCTTACATTTACAATACCAAATGTAGTAGCTTACCGTATCGAATACAGTTATTCATCTTTTACACAGCACAATGACATAGCTGTATTATTATTTAAAATATACTCTGTGAAATATTAAATCATGAAAAAGTCAACCAACAACCAGGTTGAAAGAACAGTGCACAGCGAACGGTACAAGCCTGAGGCAGAATATCTTCAACTCCTAAAATTCAACACACAGTTGTTAAAAGTTTTACTGCTGTGATGCAGAGGGGAAGTGCATCAGCTCTTGATAAGATGACGCTGTGATTAGACTAAAGGCACCATAAAAGTTCTGAACGTCTTTCAATCCTGGCAAGTACGCCTAAAGGCCCATCCATTCCACTGCTGTGATTAATTAGCCTACAGAGACTGTTTCCTCAGAGGTGAATCCCGAAAGCAGCGGTTAGGGCACGTTGGTGTTGTTTGGACAGGGTAACGTTGGCAACGTAGTCTGTTTGGGGTATTGTGTAAGTGCTGCACATACACTAGATGATTGACAAACACGCTAGCACAACCTCACTGAAATGTGTTCAAAGACGTCACAATGACAATGAGTCACATGACTTGTTTTTCATCAAGTATTCATGTGACTTACTGTAACCTTGCTGTTTGGAGAGCGCTTTCCTCCCGAGTACACACTCAGTAAACTCACCTTGGTGCCAGCTCAAGTAAAGCACAAATCAAATAGCCGAGGCAAAATCTAGTGTATGTGTGTGTGTGTTTGTGTGTGTTTAGACAGGTGAAGTATTCCCAAAGCTTCCCAGCAGCACTCCGGCATGTGTGGAGTGCAGCACTGTGCAAGTGTGCTTCGACAGTAAGGCAACGGAGTATAGCTGTCTGCTCACACTGTCACAGAGGAGAGGCAGGAGAAAAGATGTGTACATGCACCATGTACATACTAAAAAATGGAAATCACAGGAGACCAAACAAAGACACTTGACAAAGAAGTCGCTGAAAGAGAACAATAAACCTCCAGGTTATACATGAACTTTGTTTTCAGAGGCACAGCAGCACACTCAATTATTAAATTTGATCTGATATTAAGATTCGAAGTGATGAAACTGTCCCCCATAAGCATAAAGATTTTATCAAATTGTATCTATTCACTCCCTCCTGTCCGTGGAGAGGAAAATGTTTTGGATTTCAAGCCCAATTCATTATCGTTTTTACCACCTCAGAGATAACTCCCCTCCATGCAACGCTAACTCACCCTGGTACAGATTTGGATTTTTGATAAAAACTGCTGTAGACCCGAGTTGTTTTTTTCTAAATGTACCTGCCTCTTCAAACTCGACACTGTATTGCGCGCTGAGGGGAAAGAAGGAAGCATTTGTTGGAACAATTTTAGTGAAAATCAATAAAAGGGTAAAATCTCGGTTGAGAGATCTTTACTGTGTAACAGACGCTGCAACTGTCAAAGGACAACCACCAGGAGTAGTCAATTCTAAAACGCACGCCGTGGGTCTTCAGTCTTTAGGTCTTTTTATTCAATAAAGGCCTTGATCTCTGCGATTTTTGAAACAATTTGAGGTCTTTGTTTTGTGCTGTCTATATACATTTTATAGTGTTTCTTGAGAGACCTGAGGGATGTAAGAGTGTTGCTTTTTCACACTGTGCAGGTGATAACTGGTGATAATACAATATGTATATGAACATAAATCAATAAGTTAATGGCAATATGTTTTTGGCTGACTATCATTGCTATATTGCTAACACTAGTAACAGTGAGTTTAAAAATAATATGTATTTAATTTACACACACCATTAATTGAAGGGTTAATGTAAAGAGTCACTAGTTCTAAACAGTCTTATACTGAGCTTGCGTGTTGCCACACTTCTAAGTAAGCCAAATTAAGTTCATTTTAGTGGTTTGCTTCAATAATTTAGAGACTACTTGCATCCTGACTGATCTCTCACAGAGATACAGAGCAACAAACTCCTCACTCTTACACGGAGATACTTCAGGCAGCCACTCTAGCAGTCACAGGTATTTAACTACAAACTACAACTGACAAGCGATTATGG